GGAAGCCTTAAAAGGGATGAGTCTTTGTCAAAATATTGTAGTTGCGTTGATAGTGAGTTACAATGTCAGGAATTATTTTGCTGAAGAGGATGATTTGAGTGATTCATTTTCTATGGTTTATCAACCCTTTCCATCCAGAAAATATTTTTAGATTGTGAGAATTTTTTTTTAGATAATAATGGTTTAGTTATACAAGTCTTACTAATTAACCCATAGCTGGAGGAGAAGAAGTAGATTCATTGTTTTTTCAAGGGCATTTGCGGGTAAGTGAATATAACGAACCTAACAGGAATTGAAACTCGGATCTCCGATTAGCAACTCCAAGCTATTATCCATTGAACCACCCGCACATACAAGCTTACAGCACCTGGTAACCCCAAGCGGTTACTGACAAGGATCGACGTTGCTTAACCTTGGTGATTGTATGGGAATATCCGAAATGGTCTTTGTTTGCACCCTTGTTGCTCAGCCTTCACTCAGGTTCTTTGCACTATCGATGATATTGTCGCTCTTGATATGATGTAAACATAGACCTTTGTGTCCGTAATAGAAAGGTGTGTTAAAAAGGACGGTTTTTCCTATGTCACCGCTTTTATTTTAATTACCTTCACTCATTGGCAATGTTTTTTTTACAGTGATGTGAGCCACTCAAGGTAGAGGGTTACAGAATAAGAGGCACAATTTAGGCGGATATATGGTGAAGATAACCATTAATCCTATAGTTGAACAGATTTTAGTGATCGGGAAAAAACCTTTTGGGAGTCGGTTCCACAAAGCAGCGGTTCCGGGAAATAAGCTGCTCAAGTGGATCTTACATCTCCCAAATGGAAGACTAAAGGAATGAGGGTGGTTCGCTAGAATGTGGGTGACATGGCGCGTTTTAACCGTGAGGGTTCGAACTGGGGGAAATAAGAAACGTAGTTTGTCTGAGAACTTTCCATAGAAACAGCGATAAAACAGTTAGAGGCTTGCGAATTTTTGTCTGTCAGAAAGGAGTTGTAGGATGGAAGATAATTTGTCCCCCACGAGGATGAGGAGAAACTTTTGGGCTCTGTCGAGACTGGAAAGTGAAGACTGTGCAGCTCCTGACCATATATGGCAGCAGCACTTCTGGGAAGCACGGTGGGATAATAGATTGAGGAATCGGAGAGTCGAGTTCGAATTCCAGTCGAATCCATTACATTCAATTATGTGCTAATACCCTTGGGAAAGTTCTGAATCCTCGTCTTCTCCCCCAGATAAATAGCAGGACAGATCAAGTTCTCTAGCCATGGATGGCAACAGATCGACCGCAAAAAGAAATGGCAACCTAATGCCTCGTCAGTCATGTATCGAAAGATACATGATCGCCTAAGCGTGTATCACGCATGGCACATAACTGACTAACTTTTTTGTTCTTCTGACTCGGGTTTATATATAATTATTTAAGAAATATAGTCTTACGATGTGCTATATTTATGGGATAAAGTGCTCAATATCAGAGATAGGGCGTGTGTAAGTATAAAAGTGAGCATAGAAGTCAACACTTAGAGGCGACCGTCTGTTTCATGCTAGCCTGACGATTGCATCTAGCATGAAACAGACTATCGCCTCTCAGTGTTGACTTTTATACTTATATAATTATTTATAAAGGTTGAATTTCTGACCCCGTTTTCGTTACTACGTTGCCTGCTGGACCGTGCTAATACCTTTTGGAAAGGTATGAATCCTCTCCTACTCCTCCCAGCTATGGGTAAAGAGCAGAACAGACCGGGTTCTATAGCCTTGGATGGCAACTGGTCTACCGCAGAAAGAAATGGCAACCTACTGCGGGAAAAAATCTGCCTCGTCAGTCATGTATCGAAAGATACATGATCGCATAAGCCATAAGTGACTGATTCCATTTTAGGTCTGATCTGACTCTTGTACAATTAAAGGATAACACAAAGATTCAGGTATTTACTAGAGTGGTACAGAGAAGCGACCGATTTTCCAGCATCTTTAGCGATCGATCATATATATACGTGCTCGATTTGGGGCATGGGTTGAGTTTATGGTCAAATAGGCGTTCAAGACACGGGAGTTTCCTGAGGAATCATCCATTCATCGTGATTGGTGATAGTTCTGGGTTCGATCGTCGATTAAGGAATGTAATTTAGTTTTCGAGGCATTGAATATAACCAGCCAGTTCCCCACCCCCACCCTGAGAAGTTAGAGCTAGTTCAGAGGGGAGATCAGCTGCCAATTTCTGGTCATATGGAATTTTGGAAATGCATCTGTATATATATATATATATATATATATATATATATATATATATATATGTAGTCGCATCAACATAAAAATCACTTTAGTCTGATGAAGTCCTTAAGAAAGAAATTCGTCACACGAAAACTTTTGTCATAATTTATTCCATAATATATATATATATATATATATATATATATATAAGAGACGCGCCATGTCACCGACATTTTAGTTTACCACCCTCTTTCCTATATATATATATATAATATATATTGTTCAAAATGTGTTATACAGTGTAACCCGGATATAAGAGACCCGGATATAAGAGAAACCCGGATATAAGAGAGATTTTCTCCGGTCCCAAATTAGAGCCTGTGTTAGTTAATGTATATAAAATAGACCAAACCCGGATATAAGAGAAACCCATATATTAGAGACTTCTTCTCCGGTCCCGACAACTCTCTTATATCCGGGTTACACTGTATATATTGTTGAATAGTGCTTAATATCGGAGATAAAACGTTTATAGATATAGACAGTATGGGCATAAGATTTAACACAGTATGGTGACTCGGTTTCACACCACAACGCGATTTTTAAACGAAGTCTTATTCCTATCTCCAATACTCCTATCTCAACTCTTTCTCTTTCTCTATCTCTCTCCTTTCTTTCTCTTTCTCTCTCTCTCTACCAACTATGTTACCCACACATTCCTGCACGAGTATACTTACTGAAGATAAACAGTTTTTGTAAAGTTTTATATTCGCTTTCTCATCATTTCCCGTTCGAGTTTTGAACAAGACAACTAAATTGGAATTTGCTATATGATGCCACTTACGAACAATGAATCATCGTATTAAATTTGGTTTCAGCATCACTGTTATATTTCGTAGCCATTGACTGAGAAACGCTTTCTTCCTTTTGCCGTGTGGTACTAATATTCCACAACTGGACTATTTTATACATCAAAGACAGAAAATTAATGAGAAGAACACGAATTTACATCTTTAAAATGTCGGCAAACATGGAAAACGTGCCCGCAATAAGACGCAGTATCAAAAGGATGGTTTTTCTATTGGCACCAATTTTTTAACTAACATCACTCTTCGGTAATGCTTTCTGTTTTTAAAAAAAAGAGATGCTTGGAATCGTAATGAAACATAAACATATGATAGTGAATCTATAAATTTTCTTGAGAATTGACCACAAAAATAATAATCACTATTTATTTATTAGATTGTTTCTTGGAATGGTTGGCAAAACATAAAATAATCGTTCACTCGCCAGTAGTTTACCATCGCCAGAGGAGACACATTTGTAGTGTTGAAACACAATTGAAATTGTGTACCGATTTTTAACATGTTTTTGTTTTAATATCTTAAATAAATAAATTATGTATGTATGTATGTATGTATGTATATATATATATATATATATATTTAAAGATATTTTTATGTTTATACGTATAATTGTCGGACTTTGTCCATTTCATATATATATATATATATATATATATATATATATATATATATATATATATATATAAATAACTAGACTCGTTTCGAAAAACCCTCGAATTTTTGATTTGTTAATCAAATCAATTTCGAGGGAAAAAAAGCTTTTAAAAAAAGAAAGAGCTACAAACATGAACTTCTGCCGACAGAAAAATCGCACAGATGCAGGTCTGAAGCCCAAAGAAAAAACCCCGATACGAGTAACAACTAACTAACAAAAGAGCTCAATGCAACCGTAGAGCAGACCTAGATACACCTAGTGAGCCAGACAAGCTTTCCCTGACGATCCGTTTAGGTGAAACTAGGTTTGTCTGGCTCACTAGGTGTATCTCTCTCTCTCTCTCTCTATATATATATATATATATATATATATATATATATATATATAGGATACCAGAAATACCTCCCACATAATTGTAAAACATTTGCTACCTGGTGCGGCAGAAACACCACCCAGATAATAAAACATTAGCTAGATGAAGACACCATTGCCACTTGCTTAACTTCACTCGAATCACATAGATGGCAGTTTAAAATATAGGAGGTATTTCTGCCGCATCCTGTTACTATTATTAATATTTCTGGGGGGGTGGTATATGAATGAAGTATTTCTATCGCTACCGCTCTTTCTCTCTCTCTCTCTCTCTCTCACACACACACACACACATACACAAACTATATATATATATATATATATATATATATGTACAAGTATATTGGTGTATACGGAATATATTCCAATAACCAACAAATACTATTCTTAAAAGAGTGCTCAATACAGAGTAGAGACATTCAACAACATCACTTGAGTAGACACCAGAAGTGTTAAAAGAAAATGGTTATTTTCATAGTGATTTTACATTTTTATGTTATAATTTCGGAAAAATGATTATATATATATATATATATATATATATATATATATATATATATATTAAAATTAATTGATTTAAAATATGGTTTTTTCGCTACACAGTTCTAACCATGTTTCAAAAATGGAAACTAAAAGCCCCGAATTTAATTTTGTGATTAAATTAAAGACATTAGTTCCATTTCATCCTCAAGCGAATTTTAGAGTAACTTTTTAAAATTACTGGGTTTTAAATACACAGCTAAAACAAAATTCATGTTTCCAAGGTTACAGATAAATCTATTTTTCTAGACTGGGCTGACTGGGTTTTCAATATGTCTATAATTTAATGTATCAGTTATTGGTACGTTTGGGTCGTAGGAAGGGATGTATTTTTCAATGAGATCTCA